GACATAGAGTTTATTCTGATTTAAGAATTTTAATAAATACCTTTGGGCAATACATTTGAACTCCTAAGAGTCTCAGTTTCCTTTCTTGTAAAATGACAGTTATGAATACAATGAAATCGTTTTAAGAACATTGTATACATTACTACAACATAGTAGCATCACTTAATGCTCACTTCATTCATACTTCAGTTACACTGCAGTGCTCCTGCTTGTGTTATCACTTTGTATCTTGTCTTCACTTCAAGCTTTTGATTGTTGTCATGCCTTGTTCTGTAAAAGATGTCATATATGTGGCTCTATAGGGTTTCTGAAATAGGTGTCAGTACCAACTATGAGAATGTTCTGCTTTTACCTGCACTGTAGGTACTATCTTGATGACTACCGGGTGGCTGTGATGGTAACTTTATGTGTACAGCGAAACCTCAGTCCACAAACTTAATGCTTTCCTCAATTCTGGTTCCAAACAGAATTGGACAAGAATCGGATCAAATTTCCCCCTAAGGTTGACAGTGAAGGAAACCAACACATAAGTTTGAGATTGGAGGTTCCTCTGTCTCTATCTGATAGAGTGCCCTGCAGGAGTTTCCAAATAAGCAGCTCACAACTGGCCATATCAAAATCCAAAACCATGACTCAGAAAATCCAAGGCTTCATCGGTTTTGGCTTCAGTCTGCATAAAGTAGTTGAGAAGGCGGAGGACTGGGGAAGTTCGTGTTGGTGAGCAGGGTGATTTGTATGCCTTCTCCATCACCCACGGAGATGGGACATTTGCTGTACATGGCCTGCCTGCTATGCACAGAACATTATCATTGCAGAAATGTCAGCTGACTCAGGGTTTCAGCAAAATGCATTGGCAGAGAATGTTTCCCATTTTGTTAGTTTGAAGAAATGAGAGTCACAAAAGTCAACCATCTGCTTGCATCAACCAGAGCTCTGATACCCTGAAACTCACAGTTAAGCCAAAATATTCTACATGGACTTGTTGAAAAATGTTGAACTCAGCAACAGATTTTGCTATTCTTAACATCCTCTCCAAGGTGGTCTGCTTATGCTTACCTTCATGACTTTGCTAGTGTTTCAGGTGTAAGCATACAGAGGACATGGGTTCCATGGTGCAAGGAGGGATTTACTTCATAGAATGAGGATGTGATAGTGGTTGGATAACCAGCCTCAATTTCACAAGCCGGTTAGCCCACCCTCAAATTCCTCTAACCAGAGAAACACAATTGAACATTTTTAGCCATCATAGTTTTTCTTAGATTAGTAGCAATTTATTCTTTGTAAATTTGTAGAGTGTTGGTTTGCTTGTTTGCTTTTAATTTAGGAAGCAACACTTACTTTTTAAGCAACAATGGTCAACATTCTTATGTTGTAGCTATTTTGTTCATGTGCACTTATTTTCCTTTGGCTAAGATGGAAACTCCTGCAGCAGAACTGTCACATGAATTTTTCTGATTTTCCTAGGTAAATCCATAATTAAAAGACCTTATGGCTTCAAAAGCTACTGGATTATTATTTTCCTAGTTCTGCAGAGATTGAGTCAAAGCTTACATGAAATGAAATCATTAAGATAAGACTGCTGTAAATAATATGTATAGAAAAGTTATGTCTCTGGTTAAAAACATGCCATGTAATTCCCAAAGAATATTTCTAGACTATTCAAACTCTTATCCAGTACATTATACTCAAGAAAACATTATGTTAATGATATTCCTTCCTTAATTGTAGCTAAAGTCTGATCATAAATATTAGACGTGGCTATGTGTTATAAAGAAAGTACAAGCAAATGATGACCCAATATTTAAATTTTAAGAAGGGCTGTGGTGTTAGTATGCTAAGGGTGCTATAACAAAGCCCCATCATCAGCAGGGTGCCCGGCACAACAGACATTTATCTGAGGACAGTTGTGAAGAGTAGAAGTCCGAGGCCCAGTGTTCCCATGGTTGATTTCTTGAGACTCCTTTCTCTTACCGTAGGGAGCCATTTCTCACTGTGTCCTCCCAGGGTCATCCCTCTTTGAGTATTTATGTCCTGATATCCTTTTCTTATAAGAAAGCAAGTGGTGTTGGATTATGGCCTCCTGCATAACCTTGATTTAATTACTTTCATAAAATCCCAATATCACCTGCTGAGGTCCTGAGGATTAGACTTGAGCATACAAATTTCAGCAGGACCAAGTTCAGCCCCTAACAGCTGCGACAACACAAATCTACAAGGAACTAAGGAAGCACGGCACTGTGTGCACCTCCATGGCCGCTCTGTAATGAGGGGCCTCTTGGGACCACTTCTAGTCCCTTGGTTCCTCCGTCCAGCTGCAGCCACAGAGCTCTGTCTTTGTCTTGTTTGACTCCCTGCCCAGCCCTCCTGAGTATCTGGTTCCCTGGGCCTATTTTCCTACTTTCTGCTCCCAATCTTCTCGTGCTCCTATGCAATTTTCTGCCCTTTGAACTTTCTGTGAGCTGATTTTTATAATAGTGAGAGATTTGATATCGCTACTTCATGGGTCAATCCGTTACTGTGACTCTAATATTATAGAAAAGAGTAAGACAGGGAGAATGAGATGGGACGATAGGAAGTCTCCACGATCAGCCTCCTCTCTAGGTGCTTGCATTTTACATCCCCGTTCTGGTTGCTGCATCCATGAATCGGGTTTGAAAAGAACACATGGCAATTATTCTCTTTGTTCTGACCCAGGGTGACTCGGCATGTGATTGCCAGTGCCCGTTCCTCTTCCAGAAGCTAGAAATATACGAGTAGTTCCATCAACTCTGTTTCTCAGACACACTATGGGTGTGGAGATTTTAAATGTTTGAACTATCTTACTGGTAAAGGGTGGTATCATCTGGTTACATGGGCTGATATTTTTGATGGCATAAAATTGCACTTTTTAAGTATCTGAGTGAAGATAAAACTTAATAGATCTTCATATTAGCTGAAATCTTCAAGTGCAGCTGAAATTTTTAGCTGCATTTCTCCTGATGTAAATGATAGACCTATGTCAAAATGTTGTTTATATATTTTATTCTGCAAAAGAACTAAATAAGGAGGGGCCAGTCATGTCCTGGGAAGGCTCCGGTCTTATCGTGTGAATATCATGAGGCTCTCTCTCTGCAAAAATGAAATCCTCAGAAGATTTCTTCGATATGGGGTCTGAAATCACAGATAATCACTCAACAATCTACATTTTCCTTTGAGTGAGTTGGATTAGTGTCCAGCTCAGATACTTTTCCCTTGGGAGGAGTTTGAACATGACTTTGAGCACAATATTTTTGCTATCATTTGATTTGTATTACACTTGAGGTAGCACCGCTCAGTTTAAAGTGTCTTTATTATTATGCACTGAGATTTCACTGTGTCAAGTCACATTTCCTCTAAGGAAAGCAGACACCTTGTTCTATTACTGAATCCAAGCTCTTCTCAGTCTATAAAAGTGGTTCCATAAATACTTCTTCATTGCCTGATTAAATCACGTGATTTTGCTAAAGTGACTTTCCCTTGTAATTATGCTTTATTTATTCCATTATGAAAATGAGTTTCAATTTTCTCCACACAAAGTGGAGCAATGTCTCCTAGGAGGTGACCCAGGAACAACAAGACTAACAGATGACATTTGTGGGCCAGAGCAACTGCCCCTGAGCAGTTTTGGTACTGCTTGGTGCTGACCCAATCTTCTACAGAAAAGTGCCAGGTAAGCTTCATTTTCCACTTATTTGCTTGGGAGCTGCCTGGCGAGTAGTGACACACACTCCAGGGTGTCTGTGTGGGTTGTGCAGGTGTGACCTTCGGTCTGCATCTGCTCCCTGCTCCTTCCTGTCAGAAGCTGTGCCCTGTCTCCACTTCCTGGCCGTCATTCAGCAAGCATCTTCCTGTTGCCATGCCCATGCACCATGATATGTCTGCAAGGGATGCAGTAGACCTTGGACCAACACCTGTGAAACTGTGAGTAAAATGAGCCACCTCATTAAGTTGTGCATTTCAGATACTTGGTCCCAGCCACAGGAAAGTTGATTAGTACCATGAGTTTTATTGCTTAAGTGGCACAGCACCTGCCTGGCAAGCACAAGGTTGTGAGTTCGATTCCAGGTACTGGAAAAAAACAAAACACAAATAAAAAATAAAAAATACATAAAGAAAAAAACGCATAGATTTCCAGATGTACAGAGATTGGAGGGTGGGATGCCCTGGGAAGGCGGTGTACACTGTGACTCAGTAAGTAACGTGTGAGGGCTTCATCACATCACGGTTACACATTCCCATTTACTTTTTAAAATATCTTCAAAACAACATACATTTCATAAATTAGCTACTAAGTCTGTGAGTAGCAAATAATTAATTCATCTGATGATTTGATATCCTCTCATATTTTGTAAATTTGATCTTTATCTGAAAATCTGTAGGGTAATTTATTTCAAGTAGCTCCTGTGAAGTGGCAAGAAAATACCAACAGGATGAAAACAGGACGGCTCTGCAATCTAAACAGAGATCAGCTCCTTGTCCAAGACCTTTAACTGACATTTCATCCCCAAAACAAGCCAGACTCATCAAATTTTGTTTCCAAGTTTTCTTTCCAATGGAGGTTTTGAAAGTGTATAAAGCCAAGTAGTGTTCAAGAAAGAAAGGCTTGAAATGTGTGTAAATTATTACCTTAATATCATCAAAGGTAGAACTATAATGAAGAGATATCATTTGTGAGCTGTAATTACATGCGGTATAGCATGAAATAAGAAACCACTTATACACACAGTGACAAAAAGTACAATGACAGTGCAACCAAAAAACAGTCGCAAATATCAAATTTATCACTTTCGCTTTCTGATTTAGCCCAAAGAAAATAAGTAGCATCTTAAAGGTGAAGTAATAGAAATGCCTTATTTTTATGTAATGTATATAGGCATAAAGTTATAGGAAGAAAATAATTGTATGGCAAATATTTGTGTAGTCTTGGACAGAAATAGGCCTTACTATGTTTAGAATTAAAACAAGGAAACACACAGGAAAAAAGTAGATTTAATTCATGATGTTTATAGATGCATTATTCATTTTATGAAATGAGAATTAGAAAATACAGTCAGTAATACAAGGATAGTAATTTTAAAGTGAATAAATTGCCATCTGTAGACAATCATAGAAAAATACTTGAGTGTAGGCTCATGGATGTCAAAAAACATAGATATATATGGTAAAACATAGATATATATGGGTAAACATATGATATATATGGGTAAAACATAGATATATATGGGTAAAAGACAGAAGAACACAGCTTCAAAATTTCTACGATTTCAACCTGGCTCAGGTGAGAGTGTGAGCTCCAAGTGTGTCAGATGGAGTCCAGGGTCCGAGTGTGATGGCTCCATCTCCTGCTTCAGATGACCTCTGGATTATCAGCTGGGCAGTGACAAGACTCGGTCATAAGTTCCAGTTTGATGGTCAAAATGAGAAAATTTACCTTTTGAAAAACATCTTAGATAAATATAAGAGACTGTAGTTACTCTGTCATACTGTATGGAAGTGCAGATATATTTAATTAAGATGTGGCTATATTCAATATTATATACATATATAAAATATAGATTATTCAATTTTTTCCTTAGGGAAATAATTTTTAATTCTCATTTATTAATCTTATATAGGCTGTTTTTCTCATTTTAGTGAACAGAAAATAATATATACAATTGTAAATCTGTAAGAAAGATGACACATTCTATGTACAATTACAGAATAAATAATTTATTATAAAATAAAGGGCTATAGCTCAGCAGCACAAGCGCCTGCCTGGCAAGTGTAAGATCCTGAGTTCAATTCCTGGTACCAAAAAAAAGAAAATAGAAAAGTAAAATCTCATGGATCATCTCAACACAACCTAGGACACAGTCACTGGACTCTACACACCCATTATTTGGGGCAAAATCCTGAGTGCATCATGGAGGCCGCAGCAACATGTATATCTACCAGCGTAAATTAACGTAGGCTCAAGGGGGAGCAATGCACCCAACACAACTGTTTCTGTTACTCATACTTCGACGTCTCTAAGAGGTCTGGGGTGATATGTTTTCACCCATCTCCAATTTGAAACAAAATACTCGACTATCTCACACTTAATGGAAACACAAAGAACCAAACTGAATGAATAACTGGAGCTCACCCTCTGTATTTTGCGCTGATGTGTTAGTCACTTCCTCCTCGCTGGGACACAGTCCCGGAACCTCTTGAGGACAGCGTTATTTTTGGCTCCTCACTGCAGTCCACGCTCAGCCGGCTTCAGGGCTGAGGAGGTGTGGCCCAGGCCACGGCAGCGCGAGCGTCCGCCTCAGGTGCTGAGAAGCAGAGATGAGGAGGAGGAGCAGGAGGAGGAGGAGGGAGCTGCAGCCACCTGGGTCCCTGCAGGCGACGGCCTCTTCTGACCGGATCCAGCCTCCTCCCAGCAATCAGCCCTGTTCCACATCCTCCTTCGGGGCACAGGAGGCTGCTGAGGAGCATGCCCATTCTCAACTGTTGCACCTGGTTAGTGGTCGGAAGGTATCCTGTCCATGTCGTTCTGTGGTCTAAGGATATTCATGGAATATTTAGTGTTCTGGAAACAAGTGACTAGGTTTAATGTTAAAATTGTTCCTCTTTATACAGTGATGTCATGCCAGGTTCTCTTTACCTACCCCGTTGAGTAGTTTAACAATTCATAAATGGTATGTTGAATGTGATCCACTCACTTCCCAGTGGTAAAGCTTCCCCTTTCTCTCTTCTGGCACATTAAATTGCATTCAGTGGGGATAATCCTTGCCTGCCTCAGGAAATGTTCAAGCACACCTCATTACTTCATTGCCAATTTTGCTGATAGTCAATCTCCTATCAACCCGTACATCAAGACTGTTTCAATTCATTAACAGAACTGTCCACTGTCCTGTAATTCACGACTTCAACCACATCTTTAATTAAGTTTCACCTCAGTGGAAATCCCCCAAGGAGGCCAAGCTTTCTGCTTTCCTCTCCCTCAAGATCTTTTCCACACTTACCACTGCAGCTGTCACCTCCTGCTCCACCGTCAGAGCTGGTGGAGGCAGAAAAAGTTAGGGGTTTCACAGCCCTTGTGATGATAGGTGGCAGGTGGGTAGAGCTCTAGCAAAGATAGAATGTCTTCCAGGTTCCTCTCTTACACCTAAAACCACCTGCACACAACGTAACGAACAAGCCTGGAAGACCGAGCACAGTCAAAGGGAAGAGGACCCCCAGTATCTCAGGAGATGAGGAATGGGGCAAAGATGAGTCTTCTGGGTTTTCCTATCCCTTCCCCTACCCTGGAAAGGAAATTGCAAAAGTTTCCAATTTAGAATCACCAACAGACATAAAGAGAAACCACTCCAGGAAAAGCCTGCTGACACCAAAGGATCAGGAGAGGGGAGGGCTGACTACATAGAAATGACCGTTGGCAAAACCCACTTGACTCCAATAGATGTCAGTGGAAACGTGGCGGTTCCTCAGATCTCCCCCAAGGTATCACAACCTCAGTGGAGGCGAGCACAGTGCTACCTTGGTCCACAAAAGCCAGAGGCAGCAGTCGCATCTCCCCTGTGCTGACGGCAGTAGGCAGCTTTCTCTGGTTCTCTGGCTGTCCTATCACAGCCACATCAGCCAGGCTTCGTGGCCACCTGAGCCTGAATCTCCTGCTCACAGAGGCAGACAGAGCTGCAAGAACCTGGTCGTGGTAGTTTGGCAGGTTCCAGCAGGGCTGAGTCTCTATCCTCACCTGGCAGAGATGAGTCTGAGCAAAGCTCTGGAAGCGGGCCCTGCTCATCCTTCAGCCTTGCCCCACCCTCGTGCCTGGAGGGACCCTGAGGGGCTCAGCCTCCACCGCAAACTCACAGCGCTGACCGGGACAGGGAGGCACAAAGGCCAGTCAGTATCCGGACCCTCACCCTGCTTCCCTGTGGTTTCGACTCAGGGTCAGCGCGGTCTCCACCTCCGTGGCATCTTGGAGGCCACATGCGGTGCCAGAAGCAACTGAGTGTGAATGAATATATTTAAATACAGATATACTCCCTGATGAGAAGTGAACGAAATAAAAAATGAGCATCGAAGGAAATATGGGAATATACAGATACATACACACTAAATGATTTTACCCTGAGCTACAAAACAGTCAAAGAGGTCGTGAGGGAAATTAGAAAACATTTCGAGAAAAAGATGGATCAGGGAAAATGAAAGATTCACTCAGATAAGGAACAGAGTAAATTTATCAGGGCAAATTCATAACGGCTAGAGCAGTATTAACAACGATGGAAGACAAAATATCAGTCACTTACAGCTCCCCCTTGAGACACTAAATGTTACAACAAATTAAGCGCACACATGCCAGTGAAAGAAATAGCAAGATTTAGAGTGAAAATTCATTCTCATTTCAAAAGCAATGAAACAAAGTGGAAATTAGCACAGGAAAGACTCCATCTTTGACAAGAGACAAAACTGCCAAAAGTTTAGCTAAATGGATGAAAAAATGAGAGAGAAAAACTGACTCAAGTGATTAAAATCACAAATGAAAGACTCTTTAACACCAGCCACTTAGAAAATATTTTTTAACATTATGGAAACACGACAAGGACAATTATACCCAAACAATTTAGATTGCTAAAAAATAAATTTCAAGAATGATAGAAACTGATAAAACTGACTCAAGGTAAAGCAGAAAATCTAAATAAATCTATAAGATGCCAGGGCTTTGGCTTGATAATTAAATATTTTGCCACAATAGAAAACAGAGACTCAGGGGCTGGGGATTTAGCTCAGTGGCACAGCGCCTGCCTGGCAAAAGCAGGGTCGTGAGTTCGATTCCTGGTACTGGAAGAAAAACAAAAACAAAAAAAAGAAAACAGAGATCCAAATGGTATGAATACTAAATTTGATGAAAGAGCTAAAGTCTAAATATTAATTATTTCCATCCTTTTCCAAACCAGAGCAAGGCATCCTGTAAAAACCACAGACCAATGTCTCTCCTGTATGTCTTAAACGTATACCTCTCTCTCAAATACAGCATTAACAAACTGAGTCAAATTAGATTAATAAGGGATCATACTCCATTAGCAAGTACAACTCATCTCAGGAATGCAAGGTTGGTTTAGTATGCAAAAGAATACTAATATACTTAATATAGAATGGAAATAGAACTAAACCTGAAATAGCACAGAACAGGGAACAGCAGAAAGAAGATGGAGGGAGAGGAGCAGGTACACACTCATCTCAGTCCAGAGGAGGACCTGCCCACAGCAGCTCCGTTCTTGTGGTGAAAACACTCAGCATGGAACCGTATTCAGAACGTGAGTGTTTCCCGTGGTGACTTTGCAAGGTGTCCTCTCAGAGCTGCTCAGTGTTTACTCAGGGTGCATCTGGTGACCTTGACCTTGACCGTGGCCCCTGACAGTTATCTCCTGTCCTTGCACCCTTGCTATGGCACACGTATGTGCACCCGTCTCTGTCTTATCACCCACAACTGCATGTGGTTCTGTTATTACCTCAGAAGGAAAATTTTAAAGTGGAACTTTATGCTGTCTATAAAATCTTGGAGGTGATTAAATATGATCGCAAGATTGTGTGCTTATCTTGACAAGAATTCCAATCAAGTGTTGAAATTGGAAGTTCACTAATGACATCTACTCAGCTTAGACTTCCTGTCTTTGACAAGTAAAATGAATTTTCGCCTCAACTTCCAGTAAAAAATCACCCCCCTTGAGATTATTTCCATGTGTTTGGTATTTTTAATCTATATTTAGAAGAATTTTAAGTAGCACAAAAGAAAAACAATTGTACAATGGGAAAAATACTGAACCACAGCAGACTGGTAGTTGGCAGGGCTGGGGGCAGGGTCATTGCACAAAGGGACCTCAGGAGAAATTTGGGGGACCGTAATTGCTCTGTATCTTTCCTGACTTGTTGACAAATCAGTGCATGTAAAACACTCAAAAAACTGTTGAGCAGAAATGTGACTACGTCTGCATGCAAATTGCAAAATTTTAAAAAAGGTTAGAAATAAATATAATGCAAACCAGAGACTAGGGAAATAAGGTCAAAAACATAAGCAGCTCCTAAATCTAGAATAACCATGTTTAACTCAGTTGAAGGGATTGTGGACAGGCACATGGAACAAAGCCAATGTTATTTTTCACTATAAGGCTGTCTGGCAGTAGTCAAGGTCAAAATGCTGTCATCTGTCACGAGAGTGCTCCAGTGTTTTCCATGATATAATGCACCAAATAACCCAATAAAGTTGTGTAGTACTTAATTCTGTGCAGCGGGCCGAAGGCCCTGTGATTATGGGTACGTGGGAAGCACTCTTTGTTATAAAGCAACAAAGAATTGGAAAATATCAATGACAGATCATAAGTTCTGGATTAAAAATTTGCTTCAGCCATGAATTTTATTCTGTGAAATTTAATTAAAACTTTGAGGAGATGCACTTCTGCCCTTGGAACTGAGTTGAATGGCTGTAAGTAATTGAGCGAAGATGCTTTCCTACAACCCTGGTTTTCCTCTTAGCGGCAATGAGACATGTCTTTCCTGCACACTTCCTTAGGCCGGAGTAACAGAACCGTCATGGGCACGAGGGCCATCCTGCTTCTGCCAGCACCACGCGCTCTCAGAGGAAGCCCCCTGCAAATGTCTCACAGATTGCAGGTGCTGCCTGCTTGCAGGCTTTGTCTGGTGGAAGATTTGGATGCCTGACCCAAAAACTGTAGTTGTCTTCACAGGAGAAATATTCTGCCATGAATTTACACTTCACCCCTTCAGGTGTGATTATCAGACCTTTTTGTGCAAGTGATGAGAAAGTCATCAAGATAAGGTCTTAAAACCAGTTTACTAACGTAAGTCTTGAGCTCCTGGTAAATATCTCCATCTTCTCTGCAGACAGTGTCAAGCAGAAAATAATCAGTTCACGTAACCAGGGGCAGGCGCGCGGCAGAGACCTGGCCCGCCACCCTTCCTGTGCCACCACCACAGACCTGCAGAAAAGATGAAGCAATTCACATGCTATGCAGTAACACTCCAGATTCCATGTTCCTCAGCTTCAGCATCAGGAAAGCAGACACTGACCCAGCTGGTGTCTAGACAGCTCCCATCGTGGTGAATTGCGTGCATCAACTTTATTGGGCTGTCGTGCCCAGCTACCTGTCAAGCACCGTTGTATTTCTCTGAAGATGCTTTGCTGGTGAAATTAACATTCAAACTGTCTTGAGCAAAGCAGATTACCCTGCACGATATGGGTCGACCTTAACCCATCACTGAAGGCCTATGTAGAACAAAGACTGACCAACCCTGCTGAAACAGAACTGCCAGGAGACTGATTTCGGACCTGGACTAAAATTAGTCCCTGCCTCCAGCCTTCAGAATTCTGATAATTTTGGATTTGGCAAATTCTTCTAGATTCAAATATACCAACCTTCCTTTTCTTTTTGTAGCTCTATCTGTCTCTCTGTTTCTATCTCTTTCTCTGTCTCTGTCTCTCTCTCAACCTCTCTCCCTGCCTGTCTTGTTCTTTCTCTCTCTCTTCATCCATTATGAA